ATTTAATCATTAGCATAACATTTCAAAATAAAAAGAGAGATATATAATAGACACAAAAGTAACTTAAACATGGACCACCAATATATTACTAATGACGACATTTATCTAAATGGCATGAACTTGATAGATTGTCGAGTTCTGAGCATTTAAGCAAAATTTCTAAGGCTAAAATTTATGCAACAGTCTGGTTGGATGGAGTAATTTGTTTAATGAGTAAGGGTGTTGAAGAAAGAGATGGGGCGACTGGGAATTGTGGGTGAGAGGTGCTGGTCTGTGTGGGATTTATTGCCATCATCATTCGTTGCGAATTTAAGCGATGAACCAGTTATCCGTTGCGAATTAGTTTCGGTGTAGATGGTCTTGACTAGAGAGGAAAATATTAGTCGAGATACACATAAGCTGACCTAGATACCTTAACCATTCGTGAGATCTAAAAAAATTGTGATGGTTATATATCTCCAATTTAGGTCTAGTTGAATATTCGATGTATTTTTTTTTAGGTAATGATATAAAAGAGAGAGAGAGAGAGAAGAGATTAGGTTTATGAAAAAGAAAGAAATTAGAATGATATAAGTTAAAGGGTATTCTGGTAATAAAAAAAAAGATTACTTAGATTTGACTACAAAGGAAAAAATGAAAGTACATCACAAATCTATGACTCATTGACTTGAAAAGAGTATTTGATTGAATTTTTGGAACATGATAAACCTATCAATTCACAATTAAAATTTTTTTAATCTTATTTATTTTTTAACCATAGTAAATATTTTAACCATAGTAAAAAAGTGAGTTTTGTATGAGAGTGCCCTAGTTATCTCTATAATAAAGTGAAAATCTCCCTCATATTAGAACACAAGAATAGTTTAGATTGTTTAAATCCGATAATTAATCTAATAATTTTACATTTTGATTTTTTAATCACCGTAATTCTATCTATTTATGTTTTGATCTTGACATGTTAAACGTAGTAAATATTTCAACTAAAATTATATTTTAATTATGATAAATATTTAAAAAACACCCAATCTATTAGTCATCCAATTATAATTTTAATAATATTAAAAAATGTACTTTGCATGGGAATACCTTAATATATATTTATCTTGTAGGGGGAAATGAGTACCCCTCTAAAGTTTACAAATTTGTAGAATTGCACCCATAACATTTCACCTATCCTTTTCCCTTTCTTCAGCTTTTAATCAATTTACACACAAAACCTATCTTAACAACTTAAATGGTTTTTGGCTATCATTCACACTCCTACACTAGAAGGAGAGAAGGTCATTCACAGGGACATAACCAAAATTTTATTTTGAGGGGGCCAACGATAACATAAAAAAAATTTATTCAATGAGGTAATTCAATGCTCATTGTTAATAATAAATTTTTATTTATAAAGAACCTATTAAATTTAATTTTTATGCAATCCGATTGAAAAAAAAAATTTTGAGCACAAAACTCAAACTACTTTTTGATATAAACCATATATGTATCCCTATTTTTTTATAAGAAAAAATCACTTGATCTTTCTCTACGGTCATCAAATAATCAAATAAATGTCTTTCTCAGTGCAAATGAAACTCATACATGTGATTACATTCTAAATGGTTACTAAATATCAAAGTAACTGATTTTTTTGAAAAGTTAAAAATTAGCAATAAATTTTTTTAAAAATATAAGGAGAACAATGAAATTTTTAAAATTTGAGGGGCCATGGCTCCTCTGGCCAACTCATAATTCCGTCACCCTGTTTATAAGACCTCACACTTTTCCTTCATGCTAACGCACGACATTTATACTATTATAATGGGGTAGGTGAGGTTTGGTATTATCTTCTTTATACTATCATGTACCCCATCAAAGAGGTGTGACTCTTCATTAAAATGACCAATAGACACTACTATATGAGGGTTGTAGATGTAATCCTTATCATCAGGAGACACATTAATTATAAATTAAATATATAATGTATCATTATTAATAAATATTTGTAAATATACACATAAATACGACGTGATCAAATTACAAGATATTTGTAACGAATGTTTGATGGGATCTAATGTCGACCTAATAAAAAAATGTAACAAATTTTCCAAAGAGCTAAGACGAAAATTTATAGAAGGTAAAAAATTGACTTAATTTACTAACTTAATGATGTGATAGTAATATAGTCCAATAATGTTATTGTGAGACTGAAATTCTTAATTTTTTTTGATTTTCTCTATCCAAGAACTAAATAGATTTGAGTAATAATACTTAAGTATAGGGGCTTACCAAAAACAAAAAATAATATCTATATAATAAAGTAACTTACAATTCAACTCTCAAAAGATAAACAAAATAATTTTTGCTTTTCGCGATTAAGATCGCTTTAAATTTTACTTTCAACTTAATCTAACGGTTAATATTAATACCTTAAATTTAATAGGAAAAATAAGTCCCTAAAGGTATGTTTGGAGTGACTTTTTAAAAGTACTTTTAGAAATTATTTATCATAAATATTTTTTAAAAAATAATGTTTGAAACCGCTCCATCACTGCCTTTACCACCGCCACTGCCACCGCCGCCACCACCACCACCACCGCAGCCACCCCCGTCGTCGTCGCCATCGCCACCGCCACCACCACCATCGCCGTCGTCGTCGCTTTCGCTGCCACCGCCACCATCACCACCCTCACCCCCACCGCCGTCGCCGCCACCGCCAACTCCACCACCGTCGCCACCACCTCCGCCTCCCGTCGCCACCACCACAACTCCACCGCTGCCGCTGTCACCCCCACCCCCACCACCACAACTCCACCACCACCACCACCACTGTCGCCGCCGTCACCACCATCACCCCCACTGCCACCACGGCCACGACCATGGCCACCATCACCACCACCCCTACCACCACCACCGCCACCACCACCATTACTGTCACCGCCGCCACCACCACCACCATCGCCGTCGCCCTCGCCGCCACCACGATCATTGCCACCTACCATAACTATCACCGTCTCCTACCACCACCACTTCTCACCCTCATTACAAACCGATGCTTAAATTCTTTTATTTTTTTTCTATGTTTGTAATTTAATTTTGGATATGAATACAAATATGTTTATTGTTTACCATTTTTTATTACTTTGTGCTTTCAGGCACAGACAATAACTAGTAAGGGTATAAAGACCATATAATCAAATGGTAGGGGTCTTAGTGTACTTATATCGAACGTTGTTTCCAAGTGGTTGTAAATTGTCATGTAACAACCATTTCTTTCTCTCTCTCTCTCTCTATCTCCCTCTCTCTCTGTAGTCAATGAGAATTTTGTTTTTGTCATATGTGAATTTCGTGACCTAAGGTCTGTTGTAATTTGATTCTTGAAAATGATGAACACAGATGAAGAAGCTATCAAATCTCTTCCAAATTCTGCCACAGTTTCTTTTCTGAATTGTATCGATCTATCTAGTCTTGACATGCAACACTCTATTTCTTTACTCAAACAGGTACTCTGTTTAAGTAGAGAAACAGAATGTTGCATGTCATGTATACGTACGAAAATATTTGCTCTTAGCAGGCCATGGATTATAAGCGTGATTCAATTTGGTTATTTCTTGGTGAATTCATTAAACCTGTCAAAAAATAGTCGCAATTAGTTGATTAAATGTTGATTTTAATATTTGTTTTTGATTCTATAATTTCACGGAGGATTTTTATGAAGCCCTAAGCGATATTTAGTCTTTTTGATCCATTTGCAATTCTTGTTCGTTGCATTTTGTATGTTAGATAACATAGATGAGGAAATCAGGAACATATACATAAAATGATTGGATGAAATTGAAGATCAATTAGCCTGAATGATGCCGAAGGATGTATAATTAATCTATATTTCAATACCTTTTTTTTTTTCTTTTTTTTTCCCCTCAGGAACCATTCTTTTTTATGTCAATATGTAGCAATTTGTCTATTTTTGTCATTTATTTCCAAAATTTTGGTCCAATTTTACAGAAGCACTTGTGCACAAGCACAAAAGCTCTATCCCAAAGCTCATTCCATCAAAAAAAATCAACTCAGTAATTGAATTGAATCTACACAACCTGCCCTAATTTGGCTGTAAGCAACATGTGAATTGCCAACTGGGAGGGATGCATATTCTAACTTTCTGCTTATATACATGATTGGCCATCCAAGCGGACGACCTCGTGGTTGTTAGTTCTGAGTAAAAACTGAATTGGCCCATTGTGCTGAATTTTTTTATTTGCTAGAAACCATCAATAATTATAGAAAGTTTCAGTCCTCAACCCACATGATGGAGTTGGAACAATTGACAATTTTGAGTTGTATTTTGATAATGGGAAAACAACTTCATTGTGGCTCCATTTTTCTTGGAAGTGTCTTTCTGAAGGGGTGAACTTGTATCTTCGACTGTTATGAGTGAGTAATTGATTTTCTGTGGGAAAGCAGGAGAGCCAGGCCCCCACTGTAAAAGTTGTCCCCTTGCTGAGAAAGGTTACAATATGCACATGTAATTATTAAGAGTAATGCTACACTGACCAAATTTTGGAACCAAATAAAGAGCCAAAATGACATGACACCTGATTATTTGGAGTCTTTATTGGGGCCCAAATGATATAGCACCACATAAAGAAGTCCAAATCAGCTGTCATGTCATTTGGGCTTTGATTTAGTCCTAAAATTTGTTCAGTGTAGCATTACTGAATTATTAATCACCCTATAATTAGTAATCACCATAAGTTTAAACAATATTGTGTATAAGTGATTGCATAACTATACTTCATTTTCTTGGATTTCTTCATCTCTGTCTAACATACCTGACAATGTTCATGCCCCATTTGTGTCCTTTGTCCTCCTTTGTGGCTCAGTGCCGCTTAGACCCTAATTTATATGCTTGGATTCTAGTTTCTTCTATGTTATCAATCATGCAATCAGTGAGGAATTCATGGATGAGGTTTTTTCCCAAAGCAAAAGGTTCTTTGATCTACCCATAAAGGAAAAAAATGAAGCTTCTAAGGAACAAGAAGCATCGAGGATATACTCATACTCTAGATGAATATTTGGATCCTATCAATCAAGTACAGGGTTAGTCTGCTACCGTTCTTTTTTGTATTATTGTATGAAGCAACAATATAGCAATATGAATAACTTAATGTAATAGTCTATGCAATGTTGTATTTGATACAAGTTTTAGTGAAGACCTTTGAACATTTTCTTAAATAAGGGGAATGCCAGAAAGACCTATGCAAAAAGAATTCCTTCAAATGTTACCCACACATCATGCACACAATAGTAATGATATCATGGTTGACACAAATCTTCTTCATTATAAAAGGCCTTGGGTCGAATATCGGTCATACCACTGTTATTTGAACGTCAATCATAATAGAAAACCTTTGTGCCCCAATCAGTGACGAAAGTTACCAGGAGTAGTACTTCTCTCGTGAAACATCTCAGTAACTATCGACAGAACAAGTGGAAGGCCGGAAGAGTAGGTATGGTCGTGAATGATGGTCAAGTGCTACGGATAGACTAGAACGATTTGGTCGACCTGGTTTTCGACATACTATAATTTGTTTGCATGTAAGGACGCATACTTGTGCATGTCTACATAATGCAGAAGGATAATTTTATGTCCACACCAATCCTAACACCCTATATCACAGGACGAACATTTGTTAATGGCCTCTTTTATGTATTAGTTTACGTGTCTATGCAGTATGTGTGTATATATTTTTTTATCTTCCTACTGTATTATTACTTTCATACTATGAAACACTGTCCAATGATTTGGCTGCATTTGTCCTGCTCCTCTTTTTCTTTCAGTTGGTTGCTTATATGTCATTTGTGGTTTGTCAATATTATATGCAATACTGAGGCAAAAAAGTGATTGTCCTGTTTTATGGATTCAGGAGATTACAAGGAGGGATATTATATTGGTGTTGAAGTACCCGAAGATGATTCTGACGCAGAAAACCCATTTTATGGGCCAAATGTTTGGCCCTCGATAGGTAATTTTCAGGAGCAATTCATTTCTCTTGTGAAGGAACAATTTTTTCTTTGTTAAATAGTCAATAAGAATATCATTGGTCTTGGCACATTTTAATCTCTCTCTCTCTCTCTCTCTCTCTCACACACACACACACACACACGCACACGCACACGCACACATACACACACGCACACGCACATATCATGTCTCTGTTTCTGCTTTAGGTTTTTGTAAAATCTTTTGATTCCTTGAACTATTTGTATTTCTGCAAGATATTTTGCCTAGGTGGAGGCAAACTATGGAGAAATACCATTGAGAAACACTGTAAGTTTGTCAGGCCTCTATTTTATTAGATAGAACTCAAGGTTCTATTTGACAGACATACGTACTCCTAGGGAATAACTCCTATTCAAATAGGACTTTAACTATCTGGACATGGTTTGAATGTTTGAACAGTTACATTTCATTGATGTTTGTTTAATGAAGACATCAATATGTTATTGGCATCTTAAAGTATTGCATCAACTAGGAAGTGTTGTGAGAAGATCACATTATGAGGAAAGCGAAAGATCATGATAATCGAGTATTCTTTAGGGGTTCTCATAGGATGCATTCTTCTGTGATGTATATTGTCTGAAGGCATTTGATTCCTTTATATATGCATATGTATATGTGTGTGTAGTTACATAGATACATATATCATCTGCTGTAATTTTGTAGAATCTACCAAATATACGAGTTTACTATTTTTTTCAGTTATCATCAATTATGCTCTACTGCTTTCAAGAACCCTTCTTTGATAATGGGATCTATTCTTTTTATTAGCTAACTGAAACCCGATGCTAATATTCTTTATTCTTTGTGATAACAATTTTTTACATGTCCCAAAATTTATCTAACTCGTCCCAGAAAATGGATCTAACTACACTTCACTCTCAAAATTCTACGATGTGTTATGCTTCACTATTCTTTATGGATTCTCGTATGATGCATTTTTCTAAGATTTCTATTTTTTAGACAACTTTGAATCTTGGGAAAACAAAAGTGATTTCCATCTGAGGTTAAAGATCCAATGATGTTAGCTGTTGAGTTCATGTTATAGACGAAACCTCTTGTAGATTTTGCCTACTGTAAGACTTGTTCAAAAATTATAGAGCTGGACTTTTCAGTCATCCTTATGTGTTGTTCCTCTCGATTTCTGTTTCAAATATGATGATTTGATTTTTGGCCATATCTTAATATTTTCTGGATACATTTTCGTGTAATGAGCAGCATTGATTTAATTTTGAATGTAAAAGGCAACTTGGACTTTGCTCTTTTGTCTAATCACATTAATTTTTCTCATCTTTCTATATATGCATTCAGTGAGGTGGAAAAAGCAATTGCAAGACTCATAGCCCTTGCATTTGACCTTGGGGCAACTTTTTTTGATCAGCAAGAAATGCTTGGCAAGCCTATTGCCATGTTTCGCCTACTACATTGTGAAGGTTAAAATTGAAACAAAAGCTACCAAACTCCATTGTGGAGCATGCAGAATTTTTTTTGTTGATTGATGTCACTTGTGTAATGTTGACTCATTGATTGTTCATTAGGTCTAATATCTGATCCCACAAAGGGATTATATGGAGCTGTTGCCCATTCTAATTTTGGTTTGGTTACCCTCTTGGCTACGGATGATGTTGCTGGTCTCCAAGTAAGGATGAAGCTAAATTACACTATAAGTCCATTAAGTTCATTCTAATTTTTGATAAGGGATTGTAACTTTTTAATTTGTTTCAGATATGCAAGCATAAGGATGTCAAACCTCAGATCTGGGAACATGTGGCACCATTGAAAGGGTGGGTTAGTATAGCATTGAGATTGTTAATCGTGGAAAAGAAGATGAGTTATACACAATCTATTGAAGTTGTGTTTGTCCGTCAATGTAATTCATGCATCTTGCTAGTAATTTATACTGGGATAATTTTGGATTTTTTTTACATTGATGGGCTCACAACCTATGCGATTGAGCTTTTGGGTGGTCGAGTTGGGTCAAACACGTATGGTAGACCCCATCTTGCCAACAAGTGGTATCAAAAGCATGTTGGGCTCTTCCATTGTGGACTCTTCATCTTCCCGACAACTGATATCAAGGGTTGTCCATATTGAGCCAACTTCCAAAGCTTAAACTTAACTTATTGGTACTGAGTTCATCGTATATATATTAGAATATCCTCATGGCGTATTGACCCAAGTTGGACTTTACTCCAATATTATGCATGCGGAACATATGTCGCAATGACTTTATCCTTGTGTTGTCCTGAACAATAGCTTACCATCATTGCTGTTGTTGATAAATTTCCTCTTTAGTTTATTGTAATATTACTGCTTTACTGATTGATATTTGACTTCCAGAGAATTTATTGTAAATCTCGGTGATATGCTGGAGCGCTGGAGCAACTCTATGTTTAGGTAAGGTGCATTTTCATTAGCAGTTGTTATCCTGCTGGCATCCAGTGCCATAGGCGAGTTGGAGATGTTTGATATCAATTCTTGCCTAAATTTGAATATTAGTTAACTAGTTCCCACTTTTAGTTTAAGTTTCAAAGTTTGACTATAATGTCTAGTTGTCTACCTTTTGACTTGGTCATGATTCATGGTGAAACTGGCACAAGTTATCAATCGTTTGATGAAATATCTCATTCAACAATTGCGTATTGTTAAATTGCTAAACTATCGTCATTGCGGGTTTTGTTCTCACGGTGATTTGCATGCTCTTAGAGTTATTTAATTATATCTTCTGAACTTCTAGACATACCAATTTCATGGAAATGTGACCCTTTGTTAATTCTATCCAGGTCGACATTGCATCGAGTTTTGGGGAATGGTCAAGAGAGATATTCTGTAAGGCCCTTCGGAAGCTTTTAAATGTGTTTCTAACATACTATAATGATTGTTTTTAGATATTCTCTCCCTTTTAAGCTATACATTATTAGTTTATCATACATGTATGACCGATTGATTACACTTTGGTCTTTGACACTTTGCATTAATATTTAGGCCCCATTTCTAACTGTGCTGTTCAACCTTGAAACAAGTTGTAACTGGGCTACTCGGGTAGGGTAAAGCTTTTGAGACTAATCTTGTGGGAGTATTTACCCATAGTCGATTCGTTTTGAGTTAAATGTTTTAACAATACTGATTAGTTTATCACTTTATCCATTCTATCATCATACTATAAGTGGAAGCAGAACCGAGTTACAAGTGCTGCAATGTTTAAGTGGTTCCTCAGCATGTTCTAGGTTTGAAGCTACTAGGAAGCATTCACACCAATTAAATGAGTGGACACATATGCACAACAAATGTGTGTGAGTTATACAAAGTGCTTCAACTAATTTTTTGGATAGTTTATTATTTATATCTATTTGACATTACTTTTACTGTCCAAAAATTACAAGGTTATTAAAAATTATAGTTATCTCAAGGTTGTTTAAGGTTCTGGTATTGAAAATTATAGTTAGGTTGTGGAAAGCAATTATTTTAGTTTGCAAGTGTTAATGAGATAAATTCAATTTTGAAACAGTAGACTCCTTTTATAAAAGGAGGCTTTTGCATGTTGGAATTCAAATTGAAAACATCTTTATAATGTTAGGCAACTTTTTTACTTGAAGCACATAAGCTCAACATTTACGAAGAATTGAAGATTATAAATGTTCGTGTTAAGTTTCCTGCTTTCCCAAAGCATATCCATCTTTTGGCTGTCAAAGCTTAGCTGGAAGTTCTTCAAATTACCATGCCAATGAGGCATGTGCTCACTGCTCAGGCGTGAAAAGAAGTTTCTCATGGCCATGGCTGACTTCTGGATAGCTCTAACTACATACCTTCCAAGTTCCCACTTATTTTTCTGTATGAGCATGTGGTTCAAAATAATCTGATTTTGCTTAGTTAGATATGAATAAGGATTATCGTGACACCAGTGAGATTAGTTGTATTGCTTTATTATTATTGATCTTTTGCAATTTTCCTGTACCGACTTTAGTTGCTAATTTCTCATTATACACATTGCACTACTCATTTTGGCCTATTCCTCTGAGGATGGATCTTGGGGTAGCAATAAACAGCCTGGAGTACATCTACCCCCAAACCCTGTAATAGCAAAAGTCTCATGCACGTGCTGTCTTATTTTGGTCTACTCCGTTGATTCTACGTCTTTTTTCCATGCCACTTCTTGTTATGTCTTGCTTCTAGATATTACTTATGCTAGATATCTGTATATGAACCAAAAAAGATGGTAAATGTTTTGTATATTCTCTCTGGGTGCAAATTGCATACTTTGTGAAGCCTAATCACGATTGCCTTGTTGAATGCTTGCCAACGTGCCAGTCACCAGAGAACCCTCCCAAGTAAGTACAGATCAACAGCACTATGAACACAATCTTACCGCTTACAGGTTTATCTGAACCTCTGGTTGATCCAATTAGGGATCTTAGGGCACATAAAGTGGTTCATGAAGATTATCACCTATTGTGATTGATGAGTATAGTAATCACGCAAGAGTCCTTAAGGCTTGGGCAATAGCCCGTGGACCATGGGATGGCCCATAAGCCTAGAGGGCCATAGGATTGGGCCATAAGTCGTGGGTATTGGCTTACTAGACTTGACAAGTTGGGCCAATTAGGTAACAAAAAACAGACCTATTAGTCCGATGGAGTTCAAAACAAATGCTGAATTTGAAAAGGAGAATTTGGAAGACGGTACAAAAATTTGGACTTAATTGAGCTAAACTACATTAAAGAAACTTATTTGGCCCTAAATGCATAAAGGCCATTTATTATTCTTTTATCTTGTCTTTCTCTCCATTACTCTCTCACTCTCTTTTCCCTATTTTCTCTCTATCTATCTCTCTTTCTTACATTGATAATTTATTTTTGTTCAAATATGTAAAAAATTGATTTAATTTTTTCATCTCTCCCCCCTATTTTCTCTCCTTATTTTCTCTCTTTATCTATATCTTTATATTAATGTTATAACAATATAGTTACACCAATCAGTTATAATTACCCTATAATACATCAATCAGTTATTCATGTATTTTAATAAACCAAACAGTTATACTAAACAATTATACAAAATTACAACACCAACTCAATTTGTCATTCAGTTGTTTACATAACTAAAAAGTTGTACCATTTAGTATCATGATATGGTTACACCAATTATATACAACAAATTGTGTTTATCATTATACAAAAGACTTTACCGTTGTACCAAATTTGGTGTATATAATTGGTGTAACCATATCGTGATACTAAATAGTGTAACTCTTTGATTTATGTAAAACTGAATAACAACTGAATGACAATTTGGGTTAGTGTCATAATTTTGTGTAATTGTTTAGTGTAACTGTTTGGTTTATTAGAACACATGAGTAACAACTTAGTGTATTATAGGACAATTGTAACTGATTAGTGTAATTGTATTGTTGTAATGTTGATATAAAGAGAGAAAAAAAATAAAGCAGAGAGAGTAATGGTGAGAGAAAATAGGGGGAGAGAGATGAAAAAATTAAATCAAATCTTTACATATTTGAAAAGAAAGTAAATTATCAATGGGAGATAGAGAGAGAAAATATGGGAGAGATATGGAGAGAAAATAGGGGGAGATAGTGAGAGAGGGATAGAGAGAAAATAACGGAGAGATTAAGAGAATAAAAATTATTCATAATTTAAGGAAGGGTAAGTAAATAAAAAAATTCAAATGTTATTTGAATTTTGTACATAATCACAAGATGTTTTTATTAAAATTGAACTTAATAGAGTAAAATACTTATCCATACACTTTCTCTCAAATAAGTCTAAAAAAGTGTACCCACACCTAAAAACCCATTTGAAAAATAGAATCAGAAAAGTAGAAATAAAATGACACATCAGCCAGCTTGATGGGTTGGCTGTGACTGTATTTTTTTGGGGCGTAGTTGTCCGGGCCAGTGATCTGAGATTGACCCAACCCACGGCCCACCTTTGCGTGTTGACTGATGAGTCAGGGTATTCTGGGACAATTGCCCACACTTAAGAGTAGGGTTGATAATTGAGCTGAGTCAAGCTTGAACAATTTTTTAAGCTTATTTTGAAAAACGTGCTTAAAAGATTCGACTTGAACTCACAAAACTCAACTAATTTATATGTAAAGTAGTTGAGCTATATGTGCTCAACAAAATGAGCTGAGCTTAAACAATAATTTTTTAGGCTCGTTTAAAAAAACGAGTTCGATAGGTTCAGCTCGAGCTCGTAAAATTCAATTTGATTATTAGTCCTATTTAAGAGTTCCCCCCCACCCCCCGCGTGGGCGTGCGTAGACGCACACACAGGCGCACCCAAAATCGGTCCACCTTGTGGATGCTGAGGCTGCTTTTCCTTTGCCAGGTATCCTCCAATTAAATGTGAAAATGTACTTGTTGCAGCGATACAAGGAGACTCATGCTGATCTGAACTCTTATAAATAAAATCAAACTTAACTGGCCATGGCAGGGGACTTTTACCTGAAATGCCTGCCACTGAATCTGTACTATGGAGTTTGCTGCCTATGCTACCAAGGTGTGTATACCACCAGACTCTTTGTATACTAAATCTGTAAGCTTATCAGGTGTTAAGGAGAATATTTACATTTTAACTTTTATTATTATTACTAGCCATTTTCAATAGTGCCTGATAGCATTTGATGTGTTATTCTTTGTCCCACCTGTTTAACATCTTACATTATTAATAGACTAGGGATAACTCATGTCTGAAAATACAGTGCAATATGAATGATTTTAAGAAGGATGTTGGTGGTTATTGAATGAGTCTATTTAAAATCGTCGAATGAATTTATTGAAGTCATTTTGTTTCATATTATAAATATTCTAATCACGTGCTTTTTGGATTGATTAAAATGTAAATCTTAATCTTCGATATGTACAATCACCCATAACCAAAAGCATCCATTAAACCCAAAATTTATATTATCAGGGTAGCTCAAATTTAGGATGTGCATATTTATATCTTGCCAAAATCTTTTATTGGACCATTGAACCAATCCGGATAAGCTTTTGAGGATATTTTTTCAATCAGACTTAGTTTGGTCAAACAATGTTAAAACATTTTCAACTTGAAATTAACTTGCTTAAAGTCCACCTCTTGGCATAAGGGTGCAATTCATGTTATTGCCACTCCAACAAGTCGCATGTAGAGAGTTCATTAGAGGATAATATCACGATGATTAATAAAAAGACTCTCATACCAAAATTACACACTCGTATAATTTTACATACTTTACTAAAATGCGGAAATCCTTGAACGTGTGTTTTCCCAAAAACACAAAAAGACACTTGTGAAATCAGACAACGAGTCCATTTGGACTTCATATATCCAGACTCATTGAGATCAAGATATATTTTGAAATTACAACTCACAAAAGCCAGCCAAAACTTAATAACATACAACGAAGGCACATCATAACAACAACAGGCTTTAAAATGAAGTACAGAAGTTATAAGCTGTAGTTGGTAGTGACATAATTCAATGGTATGTTCGGTAAGTAGGAGTGTACATACAGCTTTCAGCATACTTCACCAGATTCTCAGGTCAGGGGAGACTTGTCGCCACACCTACAAAGCATTTATGTAATGTGGCGAACATAAATTCATGTCTTGGCAAGTAGCTTGGAACAAAAATAGGGAAAAGAAAATATGTACTCACCAAGTTCATATGCTTTAGCAGCTACCTTAGTAGCAATGTGAGCAGAGATCTTTCTGATATTAGTGAATGGAGGGTAAATCATGCCCTTAGCTAAATGCTCCTCCATTACTTGACCAGCCAAAGCTTCCGTTGTTTCAATGGAGACATCTGGAAAATTAATATCGAGAGAATTCTGTTGCTTGCTTTACTGCAATGACAACCTAACATTGTGTTGCCTTTAAAGTCACTGTAGTCTGAAAGGCATATCGTAACGTTTCATTTTTCACCACACAAGAGTTTACATGTCTAGAGAATAGGAAAAGATGACAAGTATTCTGTTTTTGTCATTCACTTGAATCGGAGCACCTAAATTTTTAGACAATATCAGTATGCAATAGTAAATTCAACACTGTTCTTCATTATATACTTACCCGTTGCAAGAGGCATTTCATCATGGACACGAATCGCATCAGAGATGACCAAGCCAAAGTCAAACACAGGGAAAATATAAGCATTGTTCGCCTACATTAAGATAGAAATTTTTTTCTCAATTTTTGATGTCCATTTTGAAGATATTATCGCACAAACACATCAAACAATGCAAGTCTCACGGAGATTAACGAAAAAACATGGCAAAACTTGGAAATTGGAAGATATAGAACCTGGCCAGCTGTGTAAACTTTCCCCTTGTAGTCTACAGGGTCAAATGGACTTCCACTGGCAAAAATTGCACGACCCTTTATTTTGGAAGGAAGAACAAGCAATAAGTTAAGAGTTAGGAGGCAAACAAAAATATATTAGGAGATGAATATAATTACCCCATGTTATATGCTATAATAACATAACTATGTATATGGTGTTAAGCCAACACCTGTTTTGACATCTCAAGAACTATAAGATCTGTTATACCAATCCCAGCCTACAATTACAAGATGACAATCGTGAGACAAATCAATTGTGATCTTATTTTGATGTTTGATAGTTAGATACCATATGTCACCAATTTAAGGGCTTGGAAGGCGACAGAAAAAACCAGGAAAACTGAACATGTCCATCAAGAAATTGCAAGAGGTTTAGTTGAAGATGTGGTAAGGCCAACATCAAGGTGTATGCTTGGTCACATTGGTTTTTTCCCCCATCAATTTAGTCTTCCCCGTAGTTTTTGATATATAACCAATTTGCTCCATAGACCAATGTTGAAAGAGTGCCTCAAATATTTCTCAAATAGGGATAGAGGGGTCGTGGGTAGGACACACAACCTCAAATGGAGTGGGTTCATGACTAAGATCCCCCCAATGCCCATCCATAAATTGTTACCCCAACGCCAACCGATCCATGATCTAGGTAAGCCCAAATTATTACACTAACCTTGAATTGTAACTCCAAGTGGTACTTTATTTTGTAATCTTGGTCATCTTCAAAAGCATATTTTGATTGGTTTTGATTTGAATGTTTTTGTAATACAAATGTAGAACTATTTACTTTAAATATACTTTTGTGATTTGAATGTTTTTGTAATACTAATATGGAACTATTGGCTTTTGTTATTCACAACCCTTGGTTGGTGTAACACCCCACCCTCCACATGGCATAATATTTTTCACTTTGGGCCCACTGACCCTCACGGCTTTGTTCCTCCCAGTACCCCTGGGAAAAGGCCTTATGCCATGTAAGACGAGGGGCTTACTAATAAGCCCAACAACTTTTCCCTCCCTAATCGATGTGGGACACCAGGATCTCACAATCCAACCCCCTTAGGGCTGCACGTCCCTGTGTAGTAGCTCTCCAGCTACCTGCCCGCCCATATGCACGTGAACACAGTAGGGGCCCACACTCGATCCAGGCGAGGGTCGGCTGTGATACCACTTGTAACACCCCACCCTCCACATGGCATAATATTGTCCGATTTGGGCCCACTGGCCCTCACGGCTTTGTTCCTCCCAGTACCCCTGGGAAAATGCCTTTTGCCATGTAAGGTGAGGGGCTTACTAATAAAACCAACAACTTTCCCCTCCCTAACCGATGTGGGACACTAGGATCTCATAGTTGGTAGGTTGTTTTGCGTTGTGGTTCAAAGCAATACCCTATTCAAGGGCGACTTAAGAAAACTTGAGGCCTAAAGCGACATTTGTAAATAAGGCCTTTTTAAAATTGTCCGTATTACTAATTCTCTCATTCTTTCTTGTGATATGGTCAACCTTAAGACTTTATTATTTTTAAAATTTTTCGTTACTAATATTTTTTCATTTTTTTGTATGTTTTGCATCCAAAATTTGTTTTGCATGTTTAAATCTCATCGTGAATATTTTTTATTTTATTTTTTTTGTATTATTTTATTATTTCTTATTCTTTTGGATCTATTAATTGTTTATTTGCATGACTTTAACCTATTTTTCTATGACGTTTTGTTTGGTAGTAGGAATAAAGAGATCATTTTGAGATTTATTTATTTTAAAATTATCTCATTTTTTAGAAAGATTTTTCACATCCAAATGATTATTTTCTAGTTACCATATTTATAATAAATAATCAACAAATTAGTTCTAAATAACCATATGATATTTATAATTACAGAATATAACATGAGCTTAAAATTATAGAGAAAATATAAAATAATATAGTTTTATTTATCATAGTTATTTGCAACATTAAAATTTGATATGTTAGTTCTTTCTAAATCAAAGTTTATAAAATTAAGTAAGGTATATTATGTGAGTTTGATTTGATGTATGATTTAAGATAAAAAGTTGTGCGTGTGTGAGAGGGAGAGAGAGTTTTATTTGTGTTTAATTGGAGATCTAAGATAGAGTATGTGTGTGTCTGAGTGACAGAGACAGGAGACTTTTGCTTTTACAGTTTTTGTTTTATTGAATTTTGATCGTTACAACAAAATGTGTGGCCTGTATTTTTGAGCTCAACTATTGAATCTAAAATTTAGTTATTACGTGTATACTTTATTAAGACTTTTTATGGAGTTTATATATTTCATATATTTAATAATTTAGATTGAATTATACTTACTGTACATTAAAAAATATGGGCCTTATTTGTAATTGGGGCCTAAAGCCCCCGCTTTTTTGTTTACACTGCTGGCCGGCCCTGACCCTATTCATGTGGCCTCAAGGGCGCTTCTGTTTCTTTGGTCTTCAACCTTGAAACTCTTATCGTAAGTATCGAAGTAATGATTGGTTGTGTGTGTATGGAAGTATAGTTATGCAAATGCAAGAGTGAAAACAATTCGAATAATAGTTCCAAAGCAATGGTGACCCAAAATAGTGTACAGATAAAGTCTATCTTCATCACGCCGCATATCAGAGAAAATACCGTACCTCATACCTATACCAAATCAAGTAATCAACCCACGATCTAAGGAATATCGGTGTCAAATAGAAAATCCTCAAAGAAAACCATATTTTGGAGCACAAATAAATAAAATATTTTGGAAAGTCACTAATATTTCCTCTATAAGTTTCTGGTGCCATCATTACTGTACTTCTGTACTGTACCACACCCTAACCTAGTTATTTTTGCTTATCTACCTAGGATGTTAAGATTCAGAAATAGGTGGAGGAGTAGAATCTCACTTGCCCAACACCAGGAATAAGAATTTGTGGTCAGCCAAAGTACCACCAAGTAACTTTAGTGCTGTAACAAGCCCTACAAGATCCACTGCTGTTGTACCCT